AGCACACGGGTGAAATTGATATACAAAAGAAAGGGATAATTAGTTCTATCATGGAAGTAATATTGAAAGGAATAACAACGACTAATTAGCATGTATTAATGGCATGCACAGCTCTGTACTAAAGTCATATGATTTTATCCAATTATAGTCTCAGCGCCAAGACCCCTTTGGTTACTATCTGTGATACCGCGGATGATCGAATGATGTAAAAAAATTGAAAAATGGACGAGAATTGTTTACACTACAGCAGTTAAACATGGAAAATTGTATTTATTTTTGCATATTTTTGCTTTTTACCGTTCATTTTAAACTGATCTAAAAGTATTTTCCGATTGAAAGCGAATCCCGAGTAAAACAGGTAATACTGACGAAGCGATCAGGTTTCACATGATGTTTAACAAAATAATGAAGACAAATATATGAAGACATAGATTTTTTTACTATCGAATTGTGCAAAGTTTATCGAGATTTAAAAAAGGATATTTACTTTCAAGTATTTTGAATTTATGTATATGTAATAAATGTCATTGATTACATTATTGAAACTGGACAACTAAAATCAGGATAATAAGTTCGTAAATATCTATTTTAAAAAAATGTTTTAATACAGTTAATATAACACGCTACAGCAAAAATAAAAACAAACAGACAAAATGAGCTTGACCCTATCTGCCTAACCGCAAATTCATTTATACCAATTAGTTTAAAGAATAGAAACGTTTGTGAATATTTTAATTGACTGGTTTACACGCATGACTTGGATTATTCATATTTAATAAAAGGGGGTCCAAACATATTTTTGTACAATCATATTCTTAAATTTTTAAGAAATGGCGTCTTAACTGTCTGTAAATATTAAAATTTAAAAACGATCCACCCATGTTCTCCAGTTTTTAAGATTGAAATAAACAGAAATAGGAAAATTATACTAAAATCAACATTGAACAAATTACTCTATTCGGCAGCGTACATCAGCGGAATGTAACGAGTGGACTATTCAGGTTACTTTGGACGTATATACGACAACAACTTGTCTGTTCGTAATTTTCCGTGAACACGAAAACGACCGAAAAGTGTCAGTGATTTGATCGATCACATACGGAGAATCAACTACCAAAATGTACCATTCCATATCGTAAACTGATTAACGAGTAATCGAAAGATAGGCGGTAACGCAGATGAAACCTTTGAACTGACGTTGTTTTTATTCCTTTCAATATTACTTCCATGGTTCTATGTAGGAAAATTATAGAAAAGTTTGTCAAAATATGGAAAATCAGTGAAATTAGCATTTGAAGATCAAAGGAAACACCAAAATCTCTTAAAAAGGTGATAACTGAATTCATCAAATCACTGAAATAGGTGATAATGAAATCACTTGTTTAAGTAGTACCCCTGACTGTTGCATTTATTAATCATTTGTTAAATCATTGAAATATAAATTTATTATATTATCAATTTAAGCCATACCCCCTCTTATTGTTTCATTCACACTGCTTTAAATCAACCCATAACCATGATAACCTTTTGTTTCATGGTTTGATATAGCAAAGAACATGAAGAAACTCTTTATAGCTTTTCTTTATATTGTAATAACCTTTTTGTTTCATGGTTTGATATAGCAAAGAACATGAAGAAACTCTTTATAGCTTTTCTTTATATTGTAATAACCTTTTTGTTTCATGGTTTGATATAGCAAAGAACATGAAGAAACTCTTTATAGTTTTCTTCATATTCTAATTATAATAGCTTATACATGTATTAGATAATATAATTTAAAGTTTAAGCATTTTCAAGACGTAGAGATGAAAAAGTTATTTCAAAATATTAATTTTTAAATTGTCCTACGAAAGTAAAAATCATTTAACTTAAGTAATATTCTTAAATTCTTTGCATTCAATTTGCCTTAGAATTAAATCTTTTTACAAAGAAACATCAATTTTACAAGAACAATGTATATAGTGTGGCAAAATAGGGGGAGTAACTCGATTTAGTTGTCAAACATCTTTGAAATATACAAATTTGCTGGTATTTCAAACATGTCAAAAGAAAATCACGATAAAACTTAATCAAAGAGCTGATTGCTTTGAGGTTGAAGAAGATGCATAAAAGGTAACTTGAATTACCATAAAAGCAGCCCCACCAACCCAGCCTGCTTTGTCCCATTATTGCTTTTGACATATTTTTTTCTGAACTCAACCAAAACTCACTATACATTTGTACTTAACATAAAAATCTGCAAATACCGTTGATTCAAATTAAAATTTTCTATAACTAGATTCCATACATTCGTCTAAGCATGGTCAACTCGTAGCAATGCAACTTCGCCAAGCAATCATAACAGTAATTGATTAGGTTTCACTTGAAAGTTTTCTGTCAAAGGTAGATAGTTGACCTTAAAAAAAACTGGCTACCAAGATTTTAGTCAATTTTGCTTAAACTACGGTTTTCATTATAAACATATATTGAAAAATTCTAAATATATCCAATGCAGATACATGTATGTGTCAGGCCAAGAATTGTGTTTTTGGCACTTAATAGCATTTCAAACTGGTTCTGTATTCGAGCCTCGATAATGGGCGTATCTAAATGACGAATAACTGTAAAGAGCTGAACTATTTAGTTGTTAAGATCCCATTTTTTATCACTTATAAAATTTTGAATCGTAAGGCAATAAAGGCAATCATTGGGGACATTTCGTACTTTCGAAATGGAATCCATCAACTGACGTTAGTTTGTTCATTGATATTTCTGTCAACTTACAGTGCATCGTTTGATGTGTAACACACCAGCAGATTCACGTGTGCGCTCGAATCTTTATTATCGCCATAACATAATAAATATTCTAACTTTCGTTTAAAGAAACACATGTTGTCTAAAACTGGAATATGACTTGATTGCATTAAAGATCTGAATGTAGACGGAACAACTCAATCCGTGTATTTTTTCAAGCATCATTGATTTGAAGTCGTACTCTCCACGTAGATACTTGACTTATCAATATTTTGAACCTTTCGTATGCACAAATTGTCAATTAAATTTCCCATTTGTGCACATGCACAGATGTGTAACCAACATGGTTTAGATTAACCCAAATAATCCAGTTGTTTTATTCCAATAATTCCAATCATTAATCTACTAAAGACAATTATTACAACAATCAGAGAATTATTATCATGACCTATTAATGCTCCAAAACAAGCCATCAACTTTTAATTAATTTTTTTTCAGGTGTTTTCGTGAATTTCGAGAATTTATACCATATAAATATCTGAATAAGTTTATTATACTTGAATACCCTTAATTTAAATATTTTTTAACAAACGCAAGGACGTATAAAACATCCTTGATAAAAGTAAGAAGAAGGAACCCAGGGCGAACGTATTCTATAGGCGATAGAACTCAGGATGAACAGACCAAGGGCGAACATGTAAACAGGGCGAACTGACCCAATACCAAATTCACGCATGCGTACTACAAAAATATACATTAAAAAAATCCGCTTACAAGTTAAAAAATAACCTTCATGTAAGATGAGAGGAAATCTAAAAATTTACATAAATAAAAGGGTATATATTACTACATTAAACATGATAAACTATAACACTAACGATAGTGATTGTTTTTCAAGCCTAACTTATTAATGAAAATGATGCAGTTGCTTAATCATGTGTAAAATTTGGTGTCAAGAAATGGCACGGAAGTTGTTATGAAATTGTAATACGCAGAAACATGAGAAAGGGATACGGCATACAACCTGGTAACGGTTCAATGATCTTACAGCCGGCAGTAAAGGCTTTCAGAAGACTTGAAGTCTTCTTCCACCAAAAAGTCTTGAGACAAAAAGACCACTGAAAACGGGTCAAATGCCGAAATTACAGGTTATTTGATCACCCAGGAAACTACAGAAAAATCTTGGGTGAGCTCTTAAGGTTCATCATAACCTTATAGCAAATATGGACGTATTAACACCACAAATTTCACGCTGAGTACAGACAAACCTGTCAACCTTGAAAAGTTTTAGAGCATGGCTGGAACTATTCTATACATTTTTTTTCATCCTGCAGAAGGTGCCAAAATTAACTAAGTTGGGAAAGAGTTTTGAGTAGCTCCCCTCATATAATAAGTGTTGTGAGTTGTATTGATTTAAATGGACAATAGATGGAAAATAAATACCTGCATACAATAGATTTACACTGTGTAACTGAGTGGACCGTATCAAATGAAACTCAAGTGTTAGTTTATTTTGCTATCTTCTGCAGACTGGAAAAAAATGCACATCAAAATCCATGCAGATAAGTTTTTAATTTTCTGAAACATAAACTACATATAACATTTATATATCTAGGTCCAGCCATGCCTAACACTTTTCTAGATGCATAGGTTTGTCTGTACTCGAGAGTAGATTCTTGTTTACCCTCTTTAAATAAAGAATTTATTATTATTATTATAGACTTTGTGGTGTAAACACAGCCATACAGTTGACAGGTACATTGTATGTAGTGGGCACATAAGCTCGGGTTTTGGGTGACTAGTCATGCTGGTCGTAACCTCTTATGATGTGTAAAAAAAAATAAAAACAAAACAAAGGGACATTTTACTTTCCTATCTAGGGGGCTAATGCTGTATCTCGAAGAAGCATCAAGGATATTGTGTCGTCCAATCCCCATACTCAGAGCACTGACAACAATCTCTGCATTTGAGACTGCCAACCATGTGCCATGATGTGGGATGTTTGGTTCAGATTTAAGTTTTAGAAATTGATTGAGTTGCATCAGAGATTAATTCCAATGACAAGCATAATTTGAATAAAGTCAGTGAATTAGTGTTATAATATCTAATTGCTTGTCGCCTCTTATAACATGATCTAAATGTTTTCTGGAGGAAAATGCAGACTTTATTGTAAACAACAAGGGTCAGTCAAAACACATGGCTTACTGAAATCTCTTTTGTCGGCAATTAGGACACAACTTTCAACTAAAGGTACTTCATATACAAACCTTTTTCATCACAATATAAAACATTAAAGTCCGATCAAATCCAAATGCAAACGACAACGTGTAAACGTGTCATATTGCAAATAAAGAGTTGATTCATTTACACAACTTCCCACATTATGCAGTCGCCATTTTCGATTATCACGTGACCTCTATTTTCAATCTTGCAAATCTCTCTGTATCTTTTCAAATCAGGAATAATGCTTTTAAAAGAACTAAATGTTCATTAGAATATTAATATTCTTCAATTTTTTAAAATCTATAATTAACTACTTGGTAAACTAAACGGTTGTTTGCATCGCATTTTAGTTGTAAATATGACCTTCGGTACTCTCTAGACTTTCCATGACGAAAGTATTTGGCGGGAGTTTATGAAAGTCACCACACGTGTAATTTCCCGAAATAACGACTTATTTTCAAAGGAAGAAACATGTCTAACTTTCATAGACGACAATGCAGCCTACATATCAGAACCAAATAAGTTAGTTGGAAGTTATCATGTTTGATTACTCAAATCAATGAGTCAGTTTACTACTGCATCAATGTCTCTGAGCTACTATTGATATATAAATGCATGTGTTGTAATACTATTAATAGTCTCAGATAAGCTGTAGCTTATTTACAGTGAATTAGATCTCACAGGGGGAGGGGCTATAAACCTTATCACTATTTGGGAATCTTTGACACTTGACCTGAGAATCTGTGACACTTGAAAACAAAGACGTACAACAGCAAAAGTAGGCGAGACACTGGGTTCCACAGAACCATTACAAATTTTTTAAATCCATTTATTTGCCTTTTATTTTGTACACAATACACCTTATCGCTATTCCCGCTTGACCCGAGAATGTGTCCTGCTCGCACTTTTGACGTCATTATCAAACATCACTTTTCCATTGTGGCGTCAGACATTTTCTATTATGACGTCAAAATTTTACGGGAACTTGTGTGATGTTCAGTAATGGCGGACAAATAGCGATAAGGTGTATGTTAATAGCCATGATAAATGGTTGCACCTGTCACAAACTGAAAAATGTAGTGATGTCATAAAAAATTTATGATGTCATCAGTGTTTTCAGGGTCAAGTTTTGGAAAGACAGCAGGCAGAAATGGGGATATTTTTGGTCTAACACTGAAAATAAGGTCACTTCTACATGGAAAATTTGAAGTAGTTAGAATTCCATAAGGCTGATTCCCTATATCAATTAAAGCTAATAATAATTTGAAAAAAAAAACCAAGTGAGTTATTAAAAGATTTTAAATCTCATCATAATAGATGGAATGTGCCTTTATAGATTAATTAGCTATATAAATTAATCAAATTAATATACAGGAAAAAAACAAAAGTAAAAGTCAATGTTATCATTTTTCTTAGTTAACTAAACCAATTTTTATTTTTTTATTAAATTTTTCAAGAAGTGAGCAATTCTTTTATTTAGCAGTTCTGATAAACACAGCAACTTTCCCTTTCTGTTTGAGGCACCTGAACCATGCAAGATGTACCATTTCATACCAGTTTCTGGTCACATCATATCAATGGTCATCTCATTTGCATAAATAGAAATGTAAGGGCTTTTCAATGGTGTCTCCAGGATACCATTGTTTATGGTTTATCTCATTTGCATAATTCACCAAATCAAACGAATGTTTTTGAACATGTTGAATGATAAAAAACTGTTTTTTTTAATGATTTTAATCCTTTTCATTTCTTACATAGCTTATAATTTTACTTGTCAATTGCAATTGAGTAAACAAAACATAATTCTTTTCTGAAATTAGCTGCCTTGTTTCTCATTAACATAAAGATTACAAGTTTGTTCTATTACAGAGAAGCTTTTTTTAACCAGGTTTCATTACCTATCTTTTTAGTAATGGTGAAAAGATTGCTAATTATACGAAAATGGTAGTATCTAATAGCAATAGTGGTAAAACTGGTGACCATGTCAGAACTAGAGTAAACAGGAATCAGACAAACCCCAAGTGTCGCAGAGTAAATATTCAGCTGTCACAAGATGAGCCTAAACATATGACAGAACAGCAAAGTGAGTTGGAGGGAGTTGTAACACAGCAAGATAATGGACTGAAAACAGAACACAGGGATGGAGAGCATAGTTCTACTCAAAATGAAGAAAATGGTATGAAAACTAATAATGTAGAGGTGAATGGTATTCAGTCAACTTCGTCTATTGTAAGCTTTAACAGTTCCAAAGAAACAAAAAATAAAAGGCAATCCATTTCACAGGCAGAAATGCACATACAGAAAATGCCAGTCATTCATGAGGATGGCAAACAAATGGCCGTATGGACAGACATCAAGGAAATAATTTTCCCATCATGTTCTGATTCACTGTGTGACATTGTATTGACTGTATTAAAAGAAATTCTGGACTACCCCCAAAACGAACAAAATGCCAGCCCATGCACTCCAAAACAACAGATGGCATTTTTAAGGAATTTTAGGATTGTTCCATGTGGAACACTTTTGGTCAACACCAAAACAATACAAGAAAAGATTCAGACCTTGAAAAGCATGGTTAGAACCCGTCATATCACTACTGAGGAAGTCCACAGTCGAGAATGTCATTATTCGAAGGAGCACATCAGTCATGACAGTCTTTTGACACCTGATCAGAAAGTGACCAGTGAGTTCCAGAAAATGAAATTAGTGGCAAATAATAAGTTCTGCTGGTGTGTTTTACCATGGAGACAAGAAAAAGAAATCTCAAAAGATGGAGGTAAAAAAATAATTCTAATCCAATCTCACTGTCATAGTATGATTTTGCCTTCATTTATCATGTTTATATCTTTTTTAAGTTTTTATTTTTGATAAAATTAAAACAAAAACCTTCCATATCAGAGGGGGGATAGGACCTTTATCGGGACTCCGTGATCGGGTGTTTTTAAGTTCGGGATTTCGGGATTGATCCTTTCGGGATCCTGGAATTCTTTTTTCCAATTTCGGGATGTCGGGATTTAAATTTCTTTAAATTCAGGACCTCAGGATTTCATGTTTTTAAGACCGGGATTTCGGGATCAGGATCCCTCTCACCCCCCCCCCCCCCCCATATCATTAATATGATAAAATGATTTGAATAAATAGCTTAAAAATAAAACACCGTTCTGTACCAGAATTTGTTTAAATCTAGCAATTTCGATGCAGAACTGCATTTCTCCTTTAATGCCTTTTTAGTGAAAATCTTGACCAGACAGTTACAGTCATAATTTGCAATCAATGGTTACAGAATACTCCCGTAAAAAAAAATAAAAACTTTGGATAAATAATGATTTGTAATGTTTTTTACATATTATAGAATCTGATCCAATTATCTACAATGGACGGTACTTGATTCCTTCAATGAAGCTTGGTGTCAGACCATATGTTCCTATGTCACTTGTCTACCCCTACTTTAGACAGTTCTACAATTATTTGTTTGATCTGAGTAGAGACCATCTGATAGGAACAGGCAGTGACATTACTATTTGTCTATCTCCCCTGGAGGCAAACTGTATGTCCAGTTATATTGCTAGGCAACAAGGATGGGGTAAGCTTTAGCATTTTGACAGTATAAAGTATGATTTCTTTGTTTGAAACAGTTACAAGAATAGGGTATTTGTCTAGCAAGACATCAATTCAACTTCGTTTGACTACATATGTCTCATGATGTATGCTTCCTGTGATGTGACCTCAATCGTAGATTGATTGAGCATGTGCTTAGCATGTTCAGTTATTGAAAAGAATTTCAGCTGAAAAGAAAATCTTGAGAAGACTGCAGGAGGACCAATTTTGTTGAATGATTCAGACTGCAAAATAAATGCTTCTTGTATATAGGATAATGATGATAAGCTTTATCATATGAAATCAAACAAAAGTCGGAAAAGAATTATTTTTGCTAATGCATGTGCTTACCTCTGAATTTAAATTTATATAAAAAAAAAGAGGCAATTATGACTATATTTTGACAAAAACAACTATATCTTTTGAACAGACGATACATTTTTAGTGACACACATCAGATTTTATAGTTCTCATTTGCCTTTGCGCGATGAAAAATGGTACCAATGTATTCGTTTATAAAATTTTATATCATTTTCTAAATGTTGAATTAAAATGAAGTTAAATAACTGGCAATAAGAAACCACCGCACTAACATGACTAAGTCGGCTCCCTTCATTTACAGCAAACTGATAATTAATCAAACACTCAAGGAGACTAATTAACATCTATCTGTTTGATGATAATATTTGTACCCATGATTCCATAGTTATAAAACGAGATTTGGGAGGACCACCTATGGGGCTTTCCACTGATAATGGGGACATCATGATTGCCTTACTATATAGTACAGCTTGCACACTTCGTCTAGTAATGGACTTCTGGTAATACTAATACATACTTAGCTATATATATTCATTTCTAAATGCCTCAACCAAATCTTTTAAAGTTATAAACAAATTATGTAACTGCAATTTTTGCTCAGTATTGTAAAATGGCAAAGTTTGCTGAACTCAGATATGATTTTAAAATGAGAGCATCATGTTTCATGAAACCCATTCATCTTTCATATAACTCAAAAATAATCTACATCACATATATATGTTTGAATCAGTTATATTTCAACCTGTAGATGAGTGATGCATATTAAAGACTCCATTGGTCCTTATTTTAGGAGAACATTAGTATACTCTACTAATACTCTTCATATTGATATTTGAATTGCTATTTTTTAGGAGCCAGTTGGCACCACATTACATCACGTGACCTGATGATAGATTGGCAGAAACTCTGTAAACATGTGAAGAATCCTCCAAGTTTGTCAACTGAGAGTCCAGATCTGTCTCATAATGTTGCTATGGTAACACCATTACAGGTAATTTAAGCATCTCAAATAAAAAATAAAAAAAAACAATTGAAAAAGTTGTGTTTGACATTATTAAACCGAAAATAGGAATAGCTTGTGTAAATTGCAAACAAAAAAAAGAAATCACCAATTCACCAACATTCCAACTGACTCCATTTTCAGAAAACGACATCTGTAACAAACATAAACTTTTAGCTACCGCTTTACAAGCAGAACCAAATACAATGAAAGTCCCAACTATGTATTGGCTTCCGAAGCTACACAAAACACCTTACAAATATAGATTCATTTCGTCTTCAAGCCATTGTTCCACTACTAAATTGTCTATTCTTCTTACCAGTACACTTGGTACAATAAAGAACCTGATAATAAATTGTTCAAATAAGGCCTTCGAAAATAGTGGAATTAATTACTTTTGGAGTGTCAAGAACTCGTTGGAAGTACTTGATAAATTGCATGC